TGTTTTGAATTTCCCATTAGTGAAATCTAATTAATAAAATTTAAGTCCTGACAGGGCATGAAACATAGTCTATGGAAGAAAATAGTATTTGGGTCCTAAGAACTAGAGTGTAGCTAATATTTCCTTTAAAAAAGAATATACACACACCCAGGCATGTGCACACACAGACACACACACACACAGAGAGAGAGATCAATGAAAGAATATGAATTTTAACTATTCATGTATATATTCAGTCTTTTGAAGAATGACTGTTCTTTTAAAATGCTTCTGACATGAAGAAAAAAGAAGGCATTCAATATATCATTGAGTTTATGGAGATTCTCAGTCATTTAGGTCATGGTTGTCCCAAAGGAGCTTTTTCAAATGGCAACTAGACTTTGTTTTTCCTTGAAGACATTTTCCTTCTCATCCAAGAAGCTTGAACTGAAGAAGCTTCTTAGATGAGAAGCAAACCATCTTTAAGGAAAAAACAAAGAAAGTCCAGTTGCCTTTTGAATAAACACCTTTGGGATAGTCCTGAGCTATACCTTAAAGAAGCCTATATATGCCCAAAATAAGAGTGCATGTGTGTATCCTCCTCAGATGAAATTAGAAGAACCAAATATTATATATAAAGCAATGAAAATTCTTAAGGACCACAAAATTCTTAAGGACCACAAATATTATAGAAAAAGCAATGAAAATTCTTAAGGATCACAAATATTTGAGTTTTCAATATGCATCCTGCAATTACTTAGTTATGCAACTCATTATATTGTGTAAGGAAATTTTAGCCACACAGTTACTTCATTTCTAAATTTTAATGAAATTTCACTTTTAATTATGTTGCACTTAAGAACTTTTAAAAGTCCTGGATTGTTTAGGTTAAAGCCCAACAGTGCATAGCAATGCAGCAATTCCACTGATGCATTCAACTTTATCTGATATTTTTTTTCCCTCCAGCAATTGTCTCTGTAGAAGTTCTCAGTTTCTTTTTGGAGTTTCTTGTATTTATATATATATAAAAGCCTGAGGAATTACTGTGAAAAACTTGTAAAAGAAAACCAACCTTGTAAACCCTAGATATCGTATTATTTATTTATGGTTTAACTTGTTATGGTTTCAAAATTACCTTTTTTATTCAGAAAAATACATAAGGCAGGGAATAGCCTATGCAAGATTGCAGTCTCTTGATGAAATAATTACAATAGAATAAAAAAAGAAAATAATAGGCATAAGGAAGCTGTTGATATAAAGACTATGAACTGTGTTAAAGAACACCAAGAAAATAGGATGGTTTAGATTGCTATCTTAAACTGCATCAAGCAGAGAAATGAAAGGGCTGCTTCATTACATAACCGTCAGCTCTAAAAAGACTATATCCTAAGTGATTTGTATTTTATTTTCTGGGTCTTATATGCTACTCTGATCCATCAGGACTCTGAACATGTCACATTCACTTCTTACAGTATAAAGATTGAAATAGTAAATCAATTTAACAAAATAATATAATAAAAAATAGGAAAGATATTACCATCACCAAGAAACAGTGAATGTTATGTATCAAATTCTGTACCTGTCAACAGTGGTGTCCCCCAAGGCAGTGTTCTAGGACCAACTCTCTTCATACTCTACATAAATGACCTCTGTGATCATATTAAGAGCAACTGCATCGTCTTCACTGATGATGTAAAGCTATTCAACACCACAGACAATACTGCTACCCTTCAAAAAGACTTTGACTATGTATCAAAATGGTCAAACAAATGGCAACTTCAAATCTCAACAAATAAATGCTCTATCTTACATATTGCCAAAAAAAATCAGAAAATAAAATACAGACTGAATAGTCAAGACCTTGTTGATGATCCAAACTCCATCAAGGATCTAGGAATACTCATCTCTAATGATCTAAGTGCTAGAGCCCACTATAACTACATAGCCAAAAAAGGCATTAAGAGTTGTTAACCTAATGTTACATAGCTTTTTCTCTGATAATATTACACTAATAACTAGAGCATACAAAACATTTGCTAGACCAATACTCAAATATAGCTCATCAGTCTGGAACCCACATTACGTATCTGATATTAACACAGTTGAGAAAGTCCAGAAATATTTCACAAGAAGAGTTCTCCACTCCTCTACTCGTTGCAGAATACCTTATGCCACCAGACTTGAAATTCTAGACCTAGAAAAACTAGAACTACACCACCTTCGGTACGATCTAAGTATAAATCATACATTGCAATGTCCTACCTGTCAATGAATACTTCAGCTTCAACTATAACAATACTAAAGCAAACAATAGATACAAACTCAATGTTAATCACACCAAACTTGATTGCATGAAATACGACTTCAGCAACAGAATGGTCAATGTCTGGAATACTCTACCTGCCTCTGTGGTTTCTTCCCCAAACCCAAAAAACTTTAATCTTAGACTGTCTGTCTACTATTGACCTCACCCCTTTTCTAAGAGGTCTGTAGAGTGGCCATGCATAAGTGCACCAACATGCCTACCATCCCTGTCCTATTGTTTCTTTTATTTTTCTTATCCATGTATTCATAACTATGTTTTTACTTATACCTATTACCTTGTAAGCAATTGACAAACCAAATAAAATAAATAAATACATAAATAAATAAACTCATGCTAGGCATTTCCAATACATACCAGACCCATGCTTCCTTAAAAAGCCAAGTTATTATGCCTTTCTTAAAACTCAAATCTGGAGCCAAACTATTTTAAGCAGTAGCTGCAACTGAGAAGATTCTGCTCCATGACCCTGTAGATGTTGTTAATAGTCAGAACCTGTGAGCCTGCCCTATTAGATAGGAGAAGTCACTGTGAGTAGAAAATTGTATGTTTAGAAGAATGAAAAAAAAGTATTTTTATGAAAAAAAAGTATATGTAGCAGAAGACGTTTTAAAACAGTATTTTTTTATTTTTATTTTATTTAATATTACAATTAAGAAAACAAAACTAATTGCAAAGAAGGAAGGAAGGAAGGAAGGAAGGAAGGAAGGAAGGAAGGAAGGAA